TCGAAAACATAATGGATCAGACATACATATATGATACAAAAAAAACTTATAGAGAAAAACCTAGATCAAAATAAATTTAAGGAAAAAAATAAATTCTTGTTCTAGTCATTTTCCTAATGTTGAATTCGATTTGCTCCGTTTTTCATTATTTTTCAGAAAACACTTCAAAAAACTCATTTTTCATCCAATATAATCGAAATTATTATTGATTTGGAGTCCTCATTCTTCACTGAATGTTCACTATGATATGTTACTTCAGTCTTCATTGACTCTTCTTTGATGTTTCATGTACTTGAAATTTGGCTATTTTGAATACTATATTCAAATTGTAGTCTAAAATTTGAGCAAACAACATAGTTGTTACTAGATAATAGTCTAATATGAATTTGGTTCTAATAATTTATTTGGGAAATCTTTGGACAGGACCAGTTTATAAAAGTGTCATGTGTAAGTAAAGAAGTATTGGTTTTCATCGGGTTACGATTATCAGGAAAACTTTGAACGATGGCTCAAGAGTGAAAAGTAGCAAGTTTGAAAAGCTTAATGAGAAAACATAACAGAGTGAAACAACGTTTGATCAATATTCCTAACAAAACACAAACACAAAATGGTTTTCAGAGCATAAAGCTGATTTGCAAGAGCGAACCAAAACTTGAAGAGATTCAAACATAACAAAGCTGAGGACTAAGGTGTTTACTTAGTAGTAGCACCTCCAGACCTGCAAGACAGAAACAAAAACTCAGCAAGTCTTACTTAACTTTAGAAACAACTAAGGAAAATGATGTGTGTAACAATGTAAAAACATAATGAAAAGATTAGTCAAAAATAAGCTACTATGGAAGCAGAAAAATAAAAATAATTGGGTTATTATATAAAATACCTCATCTTACGGAGAACACTAGACATCTCCTCTCTCTTTCGCTTGGCTCTCTTATGGGTACCCAACTTCCTCTTGGCAACCTTAAGAGCCCTCTTGTCTTTACCAACCTTGAGAAGCTCAGTGATTCTCTTCTCGTAAGGAGCAAATCCAGCTACTTCCCTGATCAATGATCTGATGAACAATGTCCTCTTGCTCGTTTTCTACAATACAAAAACAAAGAATGTCAAGAAAGACGACATTGCCTTAAAACAAACACCATTACTCAGCTCAGAACTTCATCTTAATCAGCCAATAAGTAGACTCCAAACATTCTTTCAAGTTCTGTTCTACTAAACTATGACTCAACAAGTTCAAGAATAAAAGTAAGCTCTATGCTCATCACGCGTAAGAAGACAAACCATGAAATTACCGAACCGACAAAAGCCCTGTCTAAACAAATCTTTCAGACAGACCTACCTATTTGTCTGAAAACTCTTTAACTAAGACAAGGTGTAGATTCAAGTTCTAAACTATGACATGAAAAGCTCAAGAATCAAATAAGATCTCAGCTCAGTTCTCTAAAAAGACCAAACAATAAATAATCGAACCGACAAAAGCCCTAACTAAGCAAATCTTTCAGACAGACAGACACACTTGTCTGTTTAAATACAAGAGTGAAGAAAGAAAGATTCATTACCCCTTTGCGAGAGTTAGGACGAGGAGCCAACTCGCGTCTGGTGACGACGTGTCCTTTGTTCAATCCAACGAACAAACCAGTCTTCACCTGTGGTGTTGCCATTGTTTTCTCTGCAAAATGAGCTCAAAACGATTCAAAAGATCAGTTCCAAATCATTTCATAGCTACTGAAAAGAGTCGATTATGTAAAAACAACGATCACTTCGTATATAGAGAGAGAGAAAGCTACCTTCTTCTTCGGATCGACCTCCAGCCGCTGCTAAAACAACGACAACTTCATAAGAAAAGTCATTTTATATACATATGGAAAACCCTAGGATTTCTTGGGCCTATCAGTTAAATATCTTTTGGGCTATAAGCAAGCCTAATTAGAGTTAGGTGTTTGTATGGGTCGCTTCTAAGAGAAGTCATTTAATTCACTTTCACTTCTTATAGGTAAATTTTTTTTTGAAATTATTATAATTTGATTTACTGTTAATTTATAATTTTTATTTATTTTAATCAGATATAAAAATAAATTAATTCTGAAAACAATTAATATTAGTTGCTAAACAAGCCATGCAATATTCTTTATGGTAACTAACCAGGAAATTATAGAAACATTAGTTAGTGTGTTTTAATTTTGATTAATTAATTACATATTTACAAACTATAAAAATATATTTAAAATGAAAAATATAGAAATTTTATAATAGCTTTATTTTCGTATATAAATATTATATTCGATCATAATAATTTATTTTATATATTTGAAATTTAAAATGAGTATAGTGATGTGAAGTTTTTAATTTTATTTTTTTGCATAAATGTAAAAATTTAATCAATCAAAAAGAAATTCTGAAAAAATATATTATATATTATAATATACCTTTAATACATAATATTATATAAATAATTATTAAAAACTCTTAATTATATATGTAAATGTTAATTAAGATAATTAATTATAGATTTAAGTTTCTTAATCAGCATAAAATAATAATATTGTGACTGATTTAATTTATTGAGTTAAATTGGAATAATTTTTATTATGACTTATGTATTTCTTAGCCAGTATGATTGAGATGTTTGCACCAATATTCAAATATTTTTAAACAAAAATATATATTGAACAAAATGGAGTATTTTGAATAAATATAGAATATATTTGTTAAAATTTAATTTTACATATGAATGCTACAGTTGTTATAATGAAAATTAAAACAAAGAATATATAAAAATAAAAATGTAGCACAATTATATACCTTTTATGTTTTTGTTGCAAGCCAAAATTTATTTGCCTCTAAAAAGTCGGATAAAGAAACATTTCAAAACAAAATAATTAAAATTCTCAATATAGTATAACACATAAACTTAATCAATATGAATAAATTTGAAATAAAACATTTTAAACTATTTTACTATAGTTGTCAATATAAACTAAAATGTTTAAATAGTCATATTTATGATTTATAAGTAGAAAATGTTTTATATGAATAAGTATGTTTAAAAATAATTTTAGAGAAAATATATAAAAAAAATATTTAGTATAAAATTTAGAAAACTGAAGTAAAAATACTGTATGATATTTAAATTTTACAAAACATTTATTACCGCGTACTTGTGATAATTATCTAGTATGGTCAAAACATTCATATTTCTATGTGAACATATATAAAATATGTACATCTAAAAAATGTGACATGTAGAAGTCTTTTTGTTCTAGTGATTTGACTAGTGGTTCATTAATACTTATACATCAAGAGGTGTGAGTTTTAATTTCAAAAAGACGAATTATGCAGAATATTAGAACAAATATTTATAAAAGATCTTCAGCATGATACATGACGAATCTCATAGGACGACTAAAAGTGATGTAGTCAGATTTGAATTCTCGTATAACAAATCAGATAGAACTGTTGATTGTTATATCGTATTTGTAATGTTTCTTGTAGTTTGTAAGCTATAATTTACCAGTGTTAAAATGTGAGAGTATATAGTTAGATAGTAGACTACAATGACAAGGTTGATTAAAAGGACAAGTTAAGACTTGAACTCTTTATGATAATTCAATTAATTCTAAATAACTAACAAGAAACGGCAAGGGACATGGGTATTACCAGTATCAATTATCCAACCCAGCTGATCATAGGGCAAAATCAATGTGACCCTTACTTATTATTAGTTATATCACATTCTTTTTCTACATGAAATTCTAGAAATTTGAGTTTTCAAAACCATTTTCTATCTTTCTTCCTTTCTGACATCATCTTCTATCTATTATGGGACTGATATAATATGTGTTCGAATATCTTATGATCAATCTAGAAATGGATTAATAAAAGTTGTTAAAGAATACCAAACAAACATCAACTTATATATTAGTCCGTGTGAAAATTATGGTGTGAGATATTTAGATATAATCATCTTAATTTGATTATCTATTAGACAAAGTGCGGATTAGAGATCTCTTCCTCATTTCCTTTTTCTTTTAGTTGATCAAAGAAATGACCATGACGCTTCATTCAAGCTGCAATCAAATTAATAAATGGTCAATTAATTAACAAATTAGGAGACACTGAGACAGGTCAACAAAACCGAAAGCTACATAAAAAGAAAGAGAGTAACACAGACGAAACCAACATAACGGCAACAAAAAGAAAATACTAACATTTTTTTTTTTTAAGATCCACAAGAAGAAGGCCGAAGCTCAAGGAATGAGACGACTGAGTGTTCTGGGCGCCGACGCTTTTCCTAAAGCGTTTATAAAATTCTATATCCAATTTCTTTTCTTGACATGTCTTCTTCTTCATGCTTCTCTCACTTTTTTTTTCACTTTGATTGTTTCTCTCTATCTTTGGCATAACTTAACTTTACAGTATCATCATCTTCCTTCATTGCGAGTCAATATTGTCAACAAGTATGTAATGTAGCTTACGGTATCACAAGGCTACTGGTTTTTTTTTCATGGTTGACTAATGCTACCTAGAATGTACATTTCATTTACGTTGAAATGACATACGAGAAATTCGAGTCTTAATAGGTAATGAAGCAACTAGATGGTTGTAAACTTTGCAAACGATAAACAACATACATATCTTAAAACAAAAACGGCAATACCAAAAGATTGAAAAACAATAATATGGTCAAATAATCATCATCTAGAAGCAGAAATCTATACTCAAGAATCAAGAACTCTTAGAAACAAAGTACTTGATCAATTAGATGAACTATTTAAAAGAAAGAAAAAACATACATTAAAAAATCATCAACATCAAAAATAATATATACAAAATAAAAAAATAACAATGGACTAATCATCACCATCTCGAAAGAGACATCTATATTCAAGAATCAAAACTCATAAAAACAAAATACCAGTTTAACAAGTATTTTTCTTGTCTATATGAGAAACATGACGTTCAGATATATTCCAAAACGTGACCTAAAAATGGTCACAACAAAATCATGTAAAACTAATATTAATATCTCTCTCTCTTTTAATTGTTCTCCACTGCAAATCCGTTATAAACGAGCTGACGGCATTTTTCGGTGGGAAACTCAACTGTCTCCGACACGATATTGTTTTACCTCTGTATATCTTAACTCCTTTCGTTGGCGCCGGTGGGCATTGTCTGACCTTAAGGATTCTATTCTCCGGACGAGTCGGTGTTTTGAATTCGTTGTTATCTTTCTCCACAAATATTTTTTCTTCTTTTTCATCGGATCTCTTCCTTTTCCAACATATATCCAACACGAGTTTGTCGTCCGAAAATTCCTCTTCTTCTCTTGTCCCCGGAACCTCACCTAACGTCACCTCTTCTTGCATCAGTCTCGTGATCTCTGACATACCTAGAAATCTACACAACTCAACCAAAACAAATCGGACCAGAAAAAAAGCTCTTGTTATTGAGAGAGAGAGATGACAATGAGAGAAGACTATATATAGATGGTTGCTGGAAATTTATTTATAGATCCAACATGGTCTGGAATATTAATCAGGAACTGACAGATTTTGTAGTAAGGCTTGGTCCGCGTTCGCTCTGAAAATTTGTATTCAATTTTTAGCTTAACATTAATTTTTTGTTTTTATTTGCAGAGGTTAGTTTGCATTATGTTTTTCCTTGATGCTTTATCATTTTATGTTAAAATTGTAAAGGCTACATTATATTCGTTTTCTTATATAGGGTATGCAATTATATATTTAATTTTTATATTAATGGTGGAGTTATGATAGACTTTTTAAAAATTCAATATGTGACATTTTTTAAATTTTCTTACATTTATTCGGATATAATAACCTTAAATTTATATAGTATAGCAAACTTTTGTTTGTAGTTGTAACATGTTATCTATTTGTTTACAAAACATAGATTTATTTCATTTTTTAAAAAAAAGTTCATGAAAATGTTATTATTTTACTTTGTTTTTAGTGCTTGTATAATTTGACATTGACAGTAAATGGAATGAAATTTCTTAACTTTGTGTTTGATTTTTTTTTGAATTTCTTAAAAAAATTAATACATTTTCTTGAAATATTGTTTTAGACAATGCCAAAAAGGAATAATTTATTTATTATAAAAATATCTAGATATCAATTTATCATGGATAATTACTACTCAGAAATCTAGATTTCTTTTTCTTGTACACTTGTATATATTATAATTTTATTTATCAAGTAGATCATGTTGTCCGAATAACTAATTATATATAATTTGAGATAATTTTTAGAATATAATTTCATACAAGTAATTTCGGACAAGTAATCTATATAAGCAACTTTATAAAATATCTATTTTTGGACAAGTAATCTTACAAGAAATTATATTCTTAAAATATTCTTACAAGAAATTTTATAAAATATCTATTTTTGGTTTGAGTTATAAATGTAATTGATTTATATTTAAATTTTATTAAATTTATTTTGAGTTACAAATGTAATGATTAAATTTCACTTTGACATAGTTGAAATAAATTTAAAATAAAAATAACTGATACCTTTTTGTAAGAGTTTCAAATTTTAATATTTTACACTAATTAGTTTATCACAATAATTAATTCATCCATCTCCAAGTTAAATCAGTTGAAAATATAATGTAATGATAAAATTCTAAAAGCATAATATTTTAAAGTACTGTATAAATAGTTGCGTATTGTCATAAATAATAATTAATATATTTTATTTAACAACAAATGATGTTTTAGGATATACATTTTTTATTTATTATTAGATTTTCAATTTATATTAAGATTTTATTTACTTTTAATGTTTTATTAATCATTGTAAATTATTTTAGAAGTTGTTAAACTTTGTTTTATAACAAATTATTAGTTGGAAATTTTGCTCATGCTATTTGAAAATATTTTAATAGTTTCATAATTAATGAAGTATTACATGTTTAACTGAAGTTTACTTGAGTTTTATACCACATCATATTAAATAATGACTTCGAATAAGTAAGAGTGAACCAAAACATAATTTACCCAAAATAACATAAATGTAGTTTCATTAATAATCTGGAAGGAACCAAACTGCAAAAAAATACTTTCTGATATTTTTTTCAAAGACTAAAGGTGTGAATGGTGACCAAGGGAATGAAGAGGAACACTACATTACTTAACATTCCTTAAAAAATTCATCATTCATGATTGTTTTTCCCATTTCTCCTAATTCCTTTGGTTGTAGAGAATTATAGAACAACTTCATTCCTTATTGATTTTGATAAGTAATTATTATGAGTTTATTTCATAAAAAGGCAGTTGTTGAGTTTTTATATCATAAAAAGGCAGTTATTGGTATAGAGTCAATTTTTCTAACCAAATGGAAACTAGAGTCTAATTGTTTAGTTTCTTTTGGTTTAAGTTAGCAAATAAAAAAAAAAAAAACAGATCTGACTTTTTCTTCTTTGAAGAATTTATTCTTCTCGTGATTCATCACCATGTATCATCTTTATGGAGCTGCAAACACCGCAGCCAAGCTTCTTCCTCCACTTTTATTCTATAACCTATCCCTACTATTGGAATGAACTCTCCTCTTCGTCACAACAGGTTCAGATAGACGCAACCCTTGCGTCGTAATCGTCATGCTCGAATCTAAGCAGGTTGATGCTGGACAAAGAAGACCTATGGGGTTTTGGTTATAATCTATCAAAACTTAAAAAATCTGAGAAATTTTGTTTTTCGTTTGGTTTTTGGATCTAATTGATTAATGACTACAATATTTTTAAGTTCCTGAGATAAAAAAAAAAAATGAAGATTGCATGAAGAAAAATCAATGGCGGCTCTGAGATTGAGTTGCAGAAACGCATGATACCTTAATAGGAAGAAGATGACTTAATTACAAAATTGCCACTTGTTTTAAAAAACTGTGTACAATTATATGTGTACATGTGTACATCTTCACATATATACACTTTATTATTAAAACAATGTACACTCGTCATATGTGTACACTATTTATTATTAAAGCAAAAACCAAAATTTACATGTGTATAATTATATGTCTGCATGTGTACATCATCACATATGTACACTCGTTATTATTAAAATAATGTACCATAACCATGTATACATGTGTACGTCTTCACAAGTTTATGTATTTCGTAAATATACACATTGATGTGTCCGCCTACTCTTATTTTAATAATAAAGAGTGTACATATGTGATGATGTACACATGCAGACATATAATTGTACACATGTAAATTTTGGTTTTTGCTTTAATAATAAATAGTGTACACATATGACGAGTGTACATTGATTTAATAATAAAGTGTTCATATGTGAAGGTGTACACATGTACACATATAATTGTACACAATTTCTTAAAACGAGTGGCAATTTTGTAATTAAGTCATCTTTTTCCTATTAGGGTATCCTGCGTTTTTGCAACTCAACCTCAGAGTCGCCATTGATTTTTCTTCATGCAAATCTTCATTTTTTTTATCTCAGGAACTTAAAAATATTGTAGTCATTAATCAGTTAGATCCAAAAACCAAACGAAAAACAAATTTTCTCAGATTTTTTTAAGTTTTGACAGGTTATAACCAAAACCCCATACGTCTTCTTTGTCCAGCATCAACCCGCTTGGATTCGAGCATGACGATTACGAACTCTCAATTAACCTAATCTTTCATCCATTAATATGTTTCCAAATTTACATGTGTACAATTATATGCAGTAAATCAAAGTATGGTGGAGAATTACAGAAGAACCGTAACAAAATTGGAAAGGGAGCTGAGAAGAAGACTTTATCAAACAAGAAAACCTCCACCGTTGAAAAATTCTGTGTATCTAATCCAATGATTTTAAAAAGAGACATATATATGTCTAATCTACAAGAGAGAATAAATCTGGAACGTTGGATGGAAAAGAGATGAAGGACTGAGGTTAATTCCCTCTAAACCAAATGTCTAGTTATGGGGGAGCAAACTGGATGGTTAATAATTAGGGAACAAAGTGGGAAAAGTTATAATAAACTACCTTGGTAGCACAAACTGCCTTTTTGTGATACTAAAAACATGAAACTACCTTTTTGTGATATTCTTTCAATTATTATTCCTCTTCCTTCCTAAAATTTTATTCCCACTCATTCCTTTCCTGTTCATTCCTGATGTTCCTATTATGGTTACCAGTCACACCCTTAACTAAAAGAGTAACTCAATCTATTAATTTTTCATGTTAGCTGTTTTGGCGACCTTTTATTTGTTTGGGTTATTTTAACGTATTAGTATGATGTTGTTGGGTTTTTGTTGGGTATTTAGAAAGTTGAATTGTCGCAAATATTTTAGAAAGATTTTTAATGTCTTATATTGTTTTAGTTTGTTTGCCATAGTCCAAAATTACATATCAATGTGTTTTTATAGCTTCAGTTCTCATCTTCATAATATTTAAAAAGAAAATGTAGTTTAAATAAAGAAAAAAATTATTCTAATTTCATTTATTATGAAAGCTTAAATAGAAAATGGAGACCATGAAAATACATATTATTCTTTGGAAAGTGGGCATGTCTACTATATCTGAAGCATTTCTTGAACACATAGCAACTCATTTTCGCACTTGATCACATTTTATGATAATTAAAGTAAGTTTGTTACTGGAGAAGGAATAAGGCCAATATGGTGAAAATGACCTTGATAGCTCGTGTTACTGACGGGTTGCCTCTAGATGAGGGCCTCGATGATGGAAGTGACTTGACAGATTCAGACATGTATAAGCAATACAGTCGTTGTTTAAGAATCTTTCTAAAGCTGATAACGAAGCTTCAAGAATTTCAGTTAAGACTTGCCCTTATGTTTTTACAACATTGATAGAAAGTGTTTTCTTATTCGCCTCGCAAAAGCTTATTGATTGGTATATTTCATCTTGATGTTTACGTCTTTTGAACTATAATCTTTCTAGAACTGATAAGGAAGCTTCAAGAGTTATCATTGTTTTTGTCAGCCTTGGAGAAGTTTCAATACTCTTGACTTATGACTGACATGTTTTATATTTGACTATGCTTACATGTATTTTGTATCTTAAAAAGATGGAAAAATCCAAGTAACCATGCTCTTCCTAGGCCAGAATACTTTAGTTACATCATAGACGTGCTTGCTACTTGGCAATGTGTGACCGCTCTTACCCAAATACTCACATTCCAATACCTGTAAGACCTCCAGAATGATTTTGAACGTGTCTATGGGCCTAACATTTCTGCACGACCCTATGCCTTTATTAATGTTGGTGTATTTATTGTAGATTCTCTTTTGTGTTCATCTTCTCCTTGACCTTCATACAAAGAAACTGTACTAAGACACTCGTATGCAATAAATTTTTGATAAGTTGAAGGATGAACTCTATGAGGTCCAT